GAACACATTCATGTACATGGAACAGGGAGATGGGAACCGAAGTATAAATGAAAATGAAGTTTTGAGCTACCTGATATGTGTGCTGGAAAATGAGCTCAGGTCTTCTCCTAGTAGCTTTCTTAACCACCAAGCAGTCTCTCCAGCTGTCACTGTGTTCTTTTTCGTTTTATTTTAATTTAATTTTCTTATTGTTTTGTTTTCAATACATTCAGACAGAGTCTCCCCTCCCTACAGTCCTCCCAGTCCTTGCTCCCTCCTCTCCCCCAGATCCACTCCTCCTCTGTTACTTTTTCTTCTTTCTATTACATTTATTTGGTGCAGGTGTGTGCACGCATGACCCAGCATTTGGGGTTAGGAGAACTATAGGAGCCCACAGAGGTTTCCTAGTGAGATCTGGGCTTGCTTTCCTCCGCAGGGCTGCATAAGGGGAAGGATTGACCACAGATGTGGGTACCAGGTGTTTGGAAGGGTCTACACTTGGCTGTGCAATGTGCTTTGATCTTGCATGGGGTAGGTCTTTTGCCCCGCCCCTTGGCATTGTTATAAAAAGCCCTTTTGAAGAGACAGAAGCCCAGGGATTTTGATCCAGGTCCTACCAAAGCTCTCCTGTGTTTCTGTTTGTCTCATTTCTGCTTTCTTTCTATCTACAAATTCCTTATGCCTCTCTCCCCCTCATAGGAACCCCGTAAAGATGAGGGCTGGCCTCCCACAGAGAACAACTTGAAGGATTTAGGTAAAGCTATTTGGATTTTAAATAATTAGAGAAATATTGCAAACATTTCATGGAATCTTGTTAAAATGTTTGTTTGTTTGTTTGTTTGTTTGTTTTAATAAAAACACAAAACTCTTAACAGATCAAGAAAGACAAAACAAAACAAAACCAATCAACAAACAAACAAACCTTTCCAGGCCACAATGGGCTGTATCAATTGAACACTACTTTCTTTTCAGTATACAAAGAGCATTTAATGAAAATGTTTTAGCTAATTCTTTAACAAGAATATTTTCTAAATTTTAGCACTGGAAATGAAAATCACTTTTATCACCCATTATTCAAACAACATAAGTTGACTAAATCTCTAAAATGATTATTATGAATTCACTTTTATTTTAACTCACTTTATCACAGTATTATTTACTTAGAGTACTTCTTTTTAAAAAATACTTAAATACTTTAAGTATTAAGACAATATGACAAATGTAATAAAATATCTGTAAAATATTAAGGCTGGCATTCACAATTTAACAAAAATATCAGGGGTAATTTATATCTGTGAAGTCAAACAGGACAAATGGTCCAAAAGTTAAAGAATTTACAGGAAAACATCAGTCAGAAATATAAAAAGATTCCATTTTAGGCATGTTAGCTGTTGGTGTAAATTTCCATTTGCAATTATTAATTTGTGTGTCATGCTTCTGAAAACCATGAAGGATTGAGATATTAACATTCAAATCATCATTATCAGAAAGGGTTGAGATTATTAAATTAGTTGTGACTCCTTACAATCACACAGGAGGAAGGAATATCAGAGAATAAGAGCTTTAATCTTGGATTCACCCTTATTTAGGAAGATTAAGGAAAAAAGTAATAAAGGGACAAAGATGTGCCAGGAGGCAGAGTATATTAGGAGGCAGGGGAGATGTTAATCCTGAAGCTGAAGGAAGGTCCAAGC